TTTATGTTTTAATGTATAAGGGTTTTGGGGAGGTAGCCTTGGTAGTTGTGGTTTAATTGTTGTCTTATATTAATCAGACAACTATAGCATTTCTTTTTCAGAGAGATTTAATGGGCTCAGAATTCATAAAACAAAACGGATGACCAGTGTATTTATAAATGTATTTTCCCGCAGCAACTAGTCCAACAGTTCTTTTCCAGAGAGATGCATTTAATCAGTTCAGTGACAATACATACAACAGAGGTACAGACAAGGCAGATGACAGGGTACCCAGAATACTTATGCAATCATCAGAACCCCTCATAGGACCCACTTTCTCCTGTCACTCTTTCTCCTGACACCACTTTCTCCTGTGTCCTTTCTCCAGACAGGACTCAACCAAAAAAACCCTTCCCTAATATACACCTTTTCCCACTGACCAAAGTGTCGAGCAATCTGATTGTTTGGTTTTATGAGCATATTTGATCTTATGTGCCTAGACCTAAAAGTGAAGGAAATAAGTATTTGCTCCACTGCTGATTTTGAATGTTTGCCCATTCACAAAGAAATGATCAGTCTAAAAATCGAATGGTAGGTGTATAACACAGTGACAGAATAGCAACCAAAAATTCAAAAAGAAAAACATGTCTAACAAATTATGCACTGATTTGCATGTTCAAGAGGGAAATAAGTATTTGATCCCCTATCATTCAGTAGGATTTCTGGCTACCAGGTGTCTTTCATACAGGTAACAAGCTGAGATTAGAAGGAGCAACTTAAAGGGGAAGCTGATAAACTCATTTTATTACCTGTATAAAAAGACACCTGTCCACGGGAGCAATCAAACAATCAGATTCCAAACTCTCCACCATGGCAAAGACCAAAGAGCTGTCCAAGGATGTCAGGGACAAGACTGTACACCTACACAAGGCTGGACTGGGCTACAAAACTATCGGCAAGCAGCTTGGTGAGAAGGTGAAAACGCTGCAATCATTCGCAAATGGAAGAAACACAAAACAACTGTCAGTCTCCCTAGGTCCGGTGCACTATGCAATATCTCACCTCATGGAGTGTCAATGATCATGAGAACAGTGAGGATTCATCCCAGAACTACACGTGAGGATCTTGTCAATGATCTCCAGGCAGCTGGGACCACAGTCACCAAGAAAACAATTGGTAACACTATGCTGACAAGGATTGAAATCCTGCAGTGCCAGCAAGGTCCCTCTGCTCAAGAAAGCACGTCCAGGCCCGTCTGAAGTTTGCCACTGAATATCTGAATGATGCAGAGGAGGACTGGTCGAAAGTGGGTGGTCAGATGAGACCAAAATCGAGCTCTTTGGCATCAATTCAACTCGCCAAGTTTAGAGGAGGAATGCTGCCTATGACGCCAAAAACACCATCCCAACTGTCAAACATGGTGGTGGAAACATTCTGCTTTGGGGTGTTTTTCTGCTAAGGGGACTGGACAAACTGCACCGTATCAAAGGGACGATGGACGAGGCAATGTACCATCAAATCTTCGGTGAGAACCTTCTTCCCTCAGCCAGGGCATTGAAAATGGGTCGTGGATGAGTGTTCCAGCATGACAATGACCCAAAACACATGGCCAAGGCAACAAAGGAGTGGCTCAAGAAGCACATTAAGGTCCTGGAGTGGCCTAGCCAGTCTCCAGACCTTATTCTGATTGAAAATCTGTGGAGGGAGCTGAAAGTTCGAGTTGCCAAACGTCAGCCACCAAACCTTAATGACGTGGAAAGGATCTACCAAGAGGAGTGGGCCAAAATCCCTCCTGAGATGTGTGCAAACCTGGTGGCCAACTACAGGAAACGTCTGACCTCTGATTGCCAACAAGGGATTTGCCACCAAGTACTAAGTCATGTTTTGTGAAGGGGATCAAATACTTATTTCCCTCATGAACATGCAAATTAGTGCATAATTTGTTAGACATGCATTTCTTTTGAATTTTTGGTTGCTATTCTGTTTCTCAGTGTTACAATACACCTACCATTTTTAGACTGATCATTTCTTTATGAGGGGGCAAACATTCAAAATCAGCAGGGGATCAAATACTTATTTCCTCACTGTATAACAGTTTTAAATGATTGTAAAACAAATGCCTGGCTGAGCAATCAGCCCCCAAGGGAATAAATAGGAGAGAATCAAGTAAATGTTCAACTGGGCTAGATATTCACAAAAAAAGTACGTAAAAAAAAAAAGATAAGCAGCTCTACTGAATTTTATGTGATAGACCAACACAAATTGGCACATAATTGCGAAGTGGAAGGAAAATGGTTTTCAAATTTTTTTTCCAAATAAATATGTGAAAAGTGTGGGGTGCATTGGTATTCAGCCCCCTTTACTCTGATACCCCTAACTAAAATCTAGTGGAACCAACTGCTTTCGGAAGTCACCTAATTAGTAAATAGAGTCCACCTGTGTGTAATTTAATCTCAGTATAAATACAGCTGTTCTGTGAAGCCCTCAGAGATGAGAACATTAGTGAACAAAGAGCATAATGAAGGCCAAGGAACACACCAAAAAATAACAAACAGAAAGCGCCAATCAACAATAATAACTTTCTATAAAAAAGCTGCAAACTTCTAACCCAAAATATTGGTGAAAATTAAAAAACAACAAAAAATCAGAATGCGCTTATATCATATATCGTGAAGAAATGTGCAAAAGCTATAAATATATATTGTAAAAAAGAGAAACCCCAGTGAATCTCTTCATAAATTATTCATATACAAAAGTCCAACATCCCAAATTATTTCTTCTCCGTGAGAACGTCAGTGTGACGAAACGCGTAGGGCGGAGCCTATTGGATGACGTCAGGACGTTCCCGGCAACTGTCGGCGAGGTGTCCGCGGTGAACGGAGTTCGTTCGCTATATGCTTCTTATATTTCTACCGCTTGTTATACCAGTGTCAGGTGGACACTTGCTTTGTGAGTAATATGAATTTTTAAATAAAACATACATAGTTTTTACGTACTGCACCATCATGCCTTTCCTTTATTTCGGAGTGATACTACCATTTATTTGGAGGATGATCGCTGTATAAAAAGTCCTGGCCCTATCGTAGAGTGGTTGCAGAGCATTGCTCCTGGTGTCTGGATTTCTAATTACAGAAGGGTGCTTCCTTGGATTTTCTCATCGCTCCCAGAGCAAATACGCTTGTGCTGATTTATAATTTGATCAGCATCTAGCTCTGGTGAGTTTATTCCATTCATCTGGTGGTGGATTGAGCACGGTGGATTTATTTGGTTTAAGAAGAAATAATTTGGGATGTTGGACTTTTGTATATGAATAATTTATGAAGAGATTCACTGGGGTTTCTCTTTTTTACAATATATATTTATAGCTTTTGCACATTTCTTCACGATATATGATATAAGCGCATTCTGATTTTTTTGTTGTTTTTCAAGGAACACACCAGACAGGTAAGGGACAATACCACAGTTCACAGAACCTATTACAAGCATTTAAGGGAAAAGCAGGGTGAATACAGATGGCGGTTCCCACACGCACCAGAAAATAGGTCACAAGCTTCCATCCTACGTGTTACGCCACAAGTCACGTGACTTCTTCAGGGATAGGAAGCGAGTGACAAACGGTGACGTATATTTACGTTTATAGGCTTTTACATATTTGGTTGTAACATGTATATATGGATATCTAGCCCAGTTGAACATTTACTTGATTCCCGCCTATGTATTCCCTTGGGGGGCTGATTGCTCAGCCAGGCATTTGTTTTACAATCATAATCATTTAATACTGTTTTTCTTGGTTTTCACACTTCATGCTTCAGCTCAGCCCTTGGTTTATTAGTTTATTTTTTAAGTCACTGGTGGGCAGCGCAGCGCAGCACTATTCTTGGGGAGTTTTTCATCATTATTCAGTTTCCACAAAATATATTCAATTGGTAGCAGATTGTATAATTCAAGATCTGGCACCTCGTATTCAGACCACTGCGTCTTTTGTTCATTTTTGGCATTTTCAGCCACCTTTATGCTGCCAATGCCATCGACTTCTTTCTTGGTCCCTGTGCTGGCCATCAATGATATATGTGCCACAGCGTAACACATTAAGTTGCACATGTGCAAGATGGAGTGCATGATGTCATGTACCTCGTGTTGCAATTTTGCCATACGACATTACATTCATCCATTAAAAAAAAAAAAAAAAGTCTCACCTTGAGAGTAATGTTGTTGGGCACATGTGCGATATGAAGTGCATGACATCATGCGCTTCATTTAGCATATGTGCAATATAACAATACTGGGAGATCTTGCAGTTTAGGAAAGTGATCTCCTCGAAGGCACTGGTGAGGTTATCTTTGCAGGGAGCATCTGTGCGGTCCTGCCTACATTACTAGTGCCTCAGATGAACCATTAGAAAAGGAAGTAGAAACGCAATGTAAAAAAAAAAAAAAAGAAAAATCGTTTTTAAGAAGCAAAGTGATGATTTCACATCAGATGCAGCTCTGCATGCTGATGTGAATTTTAGTGAAAGGATGGAAAGGTCTGCTTTGCTTAAATTTTTTAACAGAACAATATACCATTATGCAGATAGAAATTATTTAGGATACATATTTGTACATCTTTAAAATCACATACTTTCTGTTTCTGTCTTTCCTGTTTGAAAATGATTCTATTCCTGTTGACAAAAAGGCCATATATTAAAGTGGAATTTAACCCTGCTTACCAGAAAAACACACATTCTGATTCATAAAGTTCAACATGCAACTAAGGGCACTATGTGGATTTATTCTTTACCTACTTTGTTCTTCATTTTCCAAAACTACCGTATTTTTCGCTCCATAAGATGCCGGGCCATTCACAAAGTGCAGCGCTTCTCACGCATGTGCAGTGGGCACCTGGCACAGCCGGGTGCTTACACTAAAGAGAGGACAATTCCGGTCATCTGTGCTCTGTCCGCAGTCTCTGGTCATCCCTGTACTGTCCGCAGTCTCTGGTCATCCCTGTACTGTCCGCAGTCTCTGGTCATCCCTGTACTGTCCGCAGTCTCTGGTCATCCCTGTACTGTCCGCAGTCTCTGGTCATCCTTGTACTGTGTCTGTAGTCTCTGGTCATCTCCTGTGACAGCCGGGTGTCCACTGCACATGCGTGAGAAGCACTGTGCTTTGTGAATGGTCCGGCGTCTTCCGGGACACGACAGGTGGCCCGCACTAAAGGGAGGACAACTCCGCAGGCCATTCAAAAAGCGCAGCGCTTCTCGTGCACTCGCAGTGGAACCTGGCACAGCCGGGTGCTCGCATTAAAGAGAGGACAACTCCGGTCATCTCTGTACTGTCCGCAGTCTCTGGTCATCTCCTGTACTGTGTCCGCAGTCTCTGGTCATCTCCTGTAGTATGTCCTCAGTCTCTGGTCATCTCCTGTAGTATGTCCACAGTCTCTGGTCATCTCCTGTAGTATGTCCACAGTCTCTGGTCATCTCCTGTACTGTGTCCGCAGTCTCTGGTCATCTCCTATACTATGTCCGCAGTCTCTGGTCATCTCCTATACTATGTCCGCAGTCTCTGGTCATCTCCTGTACTGTGTCTGCAGTCCATTGGTTCAGAATATTTTTTTTCTTGTTTTTCTCCTCTAAAACCTAGGTGCGTCTTATGGTCAGGTGCGTCTTATGGAGCGAAAAATACGGTACATCTGTTCTGTTTCAAACACCACTTTATACATTGACATACCTCCATTAGACCATGGTCCAACCTGCCAATATGATCATCTGCTGAATAAGTACTCTCCACAGACAGCTGAACTCTCCAATAAGACATGGCAGTTTAACGCAATGTAGTTTTACTTGTGAAAATGCAGTACATGGATGTTACATAGTTTGTAAAGCTGAATAAAGACACTAGTCCATCTATTTTAAAGTGTGGGCATGTGTGTATTTATGCCACTACCACTTCCCATATCCCTCTATATTGTGTTCAGTAAAACGTGCATCTAAAAGTCTTTTTTGCAATTAATCAAAACCCCCCACCCCCAACTGTGGAAAGGAGTTTCACATCCTTACCACACTGAAAAAGAAAAAACTCCTTAAGTTTAAACTGCTTCTTGTTCAGCTTCAATGAGTGGCCATGGGTCTTCTTAAACTGCCTGAGACTGAATAGTTTTCTCCCTGTGCTAGAAAACTCATTTAGATATTTATATTGGGATCATATCTCCTCTTAACGTCATACTAAACCTAAAAATGTTTTTTTACCTCAATGCATATCTTGCATTAAGGTAAAAAACGTTTTTAGTTTCCCTGTGCACCCCCTTCCCCGTGTGAAGGGGAAGAGAGGGAAGAAGAGATCACCGCTCTGCACCTCTTCTCCCCTCGCTTCCTCCTCACACAGGGACTCGCACAGCAGTAGGAGCCATTGGCTCTTGCTGAGGTCAATGAAGTGTCTGCCTGTCTGTCTAATGCGGCTCCGTAGACATACAGGTCGGGAGCGAGCATGCAGCATGTGTACCCTAGCTATGGGGACACACAAAGATGTGGAGAAGTCAGGATCGCCGAAATATGAAAATCGATCAATCCTGATGTACTGACGGCCTATCTCATTTCCTTTCTTTTTTGCCATATGAGTTTGGAAAATGTGGAAAGAGAATGAAATAATTTGTGTTTTTTTTTGCTTTGTTTTTTGGGTTTTTTTTTTTTTTTTTTTTTTACACAATGTTGTCAATCTATAAGATTTCTAAACACACGGCATTGTATACTAAGAAATACACCTCAAAACACATTCTGCTACTTCTTCTGAGTATGGTGATACCACAAGTGTGAGACTTTTTCACAGCCTAGCCAAATAGAGCGGTGCAACATCCTAGGAGCACCTTCAGGTGTTCCAGGGGCATACAGTTGCGCTCAATTTTGGCATAGAAAATAGAACTAATCATGTCAAAAAATTTTTCATTTATTTAACCACTTGCCATCCAGACTATTTACCCCCCCTTGCGGACCAGGCCATTTTTTGCGATACCACCACGCTGCGTTACTTTAACTGATAATTGCGCGGTCATGCAATGCTGCACCCAAATGAAATGTATGTCCTTTTTTCCCACAAATCGATATTTCTTTTGGTGGTATTTGATTGCCTCTGCATTTTTTTATTCTTTGCACTATAAACAAAAAAGACCGACAATTTAGAAAAAAAAAAAATATTTTTTACTTTTAGCTATAAAACATATCCAGTAAAAATTTTAAAAATCAAATGTCTTCATAAATTTAGGACAAAATATATTCTGCTACATGTCTTTGTGAAAAATAATCCCAACACATGTAAATTAATTGGTTTATGTAAAAGTTATAGCGTCTACAAATGGCGGTATATATACACAGGAACTTTTTTTTTTATATACTTGTAATGGCGGCGATCAGCGACTTCTAGCAGGACTGCGGTGGACATTCTGACACTGGGTGGGAACTGACTAACTGCCACTGACATCCCAATAACACTAATACAGTGATTAGTGCTAATAAAAAGCTGTGTGTGTTTTTCTAGTGAACATGCTGCTGTGTATTACTCTGCTGTGCATATTCTTGCTAGCAGGAGAGAGACCTGTGTTGTTTACACACAGGTCTCTCCCCTGTCAGTTTTACTCGGCGATTGACATCTGTAGCCACCAATGGTGACGCGGGTAGGGCAACGCGTGTTCCAACCTACCCAGAAATGCAAAGCACGTGTATATATACACACGACTCTGCGCAGCCCTGCCGCCCTGTAGCAGTATTTCTGCTATAGGGCGGGAGGAAAGAGGTTAAGGATAGTGACCATGCAAAGCCATTTATTATCACATTGTTGTTTAGCTACCTTTTAAATCAAAATAACAGAAATCACCCAAATGGCCCTTATCAAAATGTTTACATACCCTGCAATATTTGACTTGGTACAGACACACAAGGGGATATACACGTTAAAATGGCAATTAAAGGTTAATTTCCCATATATGTGGCTTTTTAAATTGCAATTAGTGTCTGTGTATAAATAGTCAATAAGTTTGTTAGCTCTCATGTGGATGCACTGAGCAGGCTAGATACTGAGACATGGGGAGCAGAAAAGAACTGTCAAAAGACCTGCATACAAAGGTAATGGAACTTAAAAGGGATGGAAAGGGATACATTTTTGAAAGCAAATACAATGAGTCTTTTTAAAACAGTCATTTTTTGCCACAGGCATGTCTCCAGACCTAAACTCTATTGAACATCTGTGGAGCATCCTCAAATGGAAAGTGGAGGAGCACAAGGTCTCTAACATCCACCAGCTCCGTGATGTCGTCATGGGGGAGTGGAAGAGGACTCTGTCGCAACCGGTGAAGCTCTGGTGAACTCCATGCCAAAGAGGGTTAAGGCAGTGCTGGAAAATAATGGTGGACACACAAAATTTTGACACTTTGGGTCCAATTTGGACATTTTAACTTAGGGGTGTACTCACGTTTGTTGCCAGCGGTTTAGACATTAATGGCTGTGTGTGGAGTTATATTGAGGGGACAGCAAATTTACACTGTTATACAAGCTATATACTCACTACTTTACATTGTAGCAGTGTAATTTCTTCAGTGTCACATGAAAAGATATAATAAAATATTTACAAAAATGTTAGGGGTGTATTCACTTATGTGAGGTACTGTATATAAATACAAAATATAAACATATACTTTTTTTCTTTTTACATAAAGTTGTCAATTTCTGAGATATTTCTAACACACAGCAAAGGCATACTTAGAATTCTTTTTGTGGTGGACATGACATTCCACTACCTGGGTGTACTGCACTGCTGGGGATCGCCACTTCACTAGGATGTACAGAGCTGCTGGTGGTTGCCTGCTACTCCTCCGATCACCTGAATCTCTTTGTTGAGACCCCTTTTGTAAGGAAATATGTCTTTTTAACTGGCATCCATTTTGTATTATGTCTCCATTTCTAGATGTGTGAACAGTTAGTTTCGATTTTGAGTTTCGCTTGTAACTTCTCTCAGTTCCTCAGTTTAGTTTCTATTCTCAGTAAACGGAACCACCTTATATGATATTGATCAACCATTAGCAGTTTCGGTTCTTCACGCAACTATACTGATAAGAGTGGACTGTTTCATTGGTCATCCAAAAATTAAGCAACACCTACTGAGACCTGTATAACAGTGCTTGTCATGCATTAAAAACTTACAGAGATTTAGCTTTTACACTTCGGTGTCTGGCGCTTTATTTCTCCCGGGCCTGGTGGTGAAAATAATCGAGGAGAGGTTGGGCTACAGACAGGAATTGATCCTATCACCTTCCTCCCATGAATCAGCTACTGACCCACTGACAGCAACAGATGTTGATGTTGTACTGGGACACCACTTCAGATGTTGATGGTCCACTGGGACACCAAAAGATTTTGATGGTCCACTGGGAAACCCACAGATGTTAATGTGCACTGGTGATGCTGAAAGATGTTGACGGTCCATCTGGACACCTATAGATGTTGATGGTCCCCTGAGATACTTACAGATGTCGCTGTGCACTGGGACACTATTGCAGATCAAAAAAACAAACAAAGATTCCCAGCTCACTTACCAGCCAGCAACAAACCAAATTTTCAGTTTACGTGAAAATCATGTGAAAATCAACCTATGTTCTGCACTGGGACATCGAGTTATGTTGATGTGTACTGGGACAGTACTGCAGATGTTGTGACTGTGAAACTGTAACAGGTGTTGATGTGCTCTAGGACATCAATAGGTAGATAGGTCCACTGGGGACAATGACAGATGTTGACAGTCCACTAGGGACATCAACGTTGAAGGCCTATTAGGGACACTGATAGATGTTACTACCTTTTGTACCACTAGCCCCTCCCTCCTAAATTGTACGCTCCAAGGAGCAGGGCCCTCAAATCCCTCTTGTATTGAACTGTATTGTTACTGTATTGTCTCCCAATATATTGTAAAGGGCTGAGCAAACTGTTGGCGCTATATAAATCTTGTATAATAATAATAATAACAGTCCACTAGGGACACCGTTGATGTTGCAATGGAACACTATGGTAGATGTTGATGGGCACTTGGACACTGTGAAAGATGGTGCTTGATGCACTGTTTACAGGTGGCTGCACTGTGTGTGATCTGGCTGTAGTTGCACAGTAAAACTGGCAGCTACACACAGATACCTGACAGGCTGCAGCGATTCACTCTCTCTCCTCACTAAGCTCTTAGTGTAAGAAGAGGGAAAGCCGATACAGAGGCACATGCCTCTGTTTACATTGTGTGATGGCTGTGATTGGACATGGCCATAACATGATCAGGATGAGAGAGCCACGTCCCGATCTGTGATGTGCTGTGTCCAAGGTGGAGGTGCAGGCTGTGCTCTCCTCTCAGTGGAGTGATCCTCCATAAAGCAGATGACACAGTATCGCTCTTACATCAGCACATTCAGTGTTTGATTCACTCTCTGCTAGAAGGAATGGGGGTATATGAACTAGAAGGAGGGAGGCTTGGGGGTATTTGTGCTAAAGGGGGGGGGGGGGGGGGGGGTTATGATTGGAAGGGTAATTTGGAGAGGTTTTAGCTATAAGAGGGATTTAGGGGAATTTGTCTTGGGTGGGAAGATTAAAGGAAGAGGATTGGTGCTGGGAGGGAGT